AAACCTTAAAACTAAGTTAGTTAGAGTTAAGTTAAAAGTAACGTAACTTAGTTTTAGTAGAGACTACTTCTTCTACTCTACTACTCTCTCTCTCTCTCTCTCTATATATATATATATATATATATGTATATGAAATTTTTTTCATGTGGGCTGGACCACATTTCTACAATATGCGGCTCCAAGTTAAAACATCCATCTTTAGGATGGATACAAATAGGTGGTCCATCTAAGCACAATTGAAACTAACGTCCACATGTTTTCTTAATATAATTATTATTTCTAATTTTTAAAATTTATTTATTTATATTTTCATGTTAGAGATTACATGTCTTTAAAATTACGTCCAAAAATCTATCTTAAAAATAGATTTTTAAGAGGTGACTCATTTCTACATGGACTCATAAAAACTGTGAATGATTATATATATATATATATATATATATATAAAAGAAAACATCACAATTTATTACAAAGCGACTCCATAGATGTGCGCAAACATCTATTCCAATCTCTCAGAAATGTCAATAACTTCAAACTCAAGAGATCTAATTCTCTACAGAATTTTCTGCCTCGTATTGTACCATTTGATGGAATCAGCTTCTGTAGTTATTACATGGCCCACTATATCTTCTCATTAGTTTTCGAGAGATCTATATATCTTTTTTTCTTTTTTCATATGTTCAGGGTGTAAATGGAAGGTGGGACGGTATGTCGAGGTATCAGCCCCGCTAACTCATTGGACCAACTCCATTTCCTAGATACTACCACTCTGCCCACCGGTGGATCCTTGATGGAGAACACAATTATTTTTATTTTTAAATTTTTTTAAATTTGCAGGATGTACATTATAGCTTTAGTTTTATGATTTATTTCTCGGATTTTTGTTATTTTTATTTACTTCATTAGTACTATTGACAATTATTGTTCAGAGTACTGCTTGTGGGTACTGTTCACAAGGGTAAAATTGTGATTACTAATTTTAAGTTAAGTTAGGATATATGGGCCAACGTATTATTTGTTTGGTCACTTTTTGTACTTGGAGCATTAAATTATAATATATAAGAGGTGTATGAGGCCTTGATGGGGTTATTTTACATTATTTTTAGAAAATAGAAGGAGAGAAAGCTTAGACTTTTGGAAATCTAGCTTGAGATATAGATAAGAAACCCTAAGTTTCTTTAAAGGAAAAAGTTTATATAAGTGTGAGGCCCTAAACAATCAAATTAAGGTTCGTCTAAAAAAATTCACTAAAAGAGGTTATTTTGATGACCAAAAGTCCTCAAATTGATCATCTTGACATCAAGATGTATGAACATGAGAAAAAATGGATTTCAAACCTTAGAAATAGTGCATCTTGTAATGCATTTTCGGATCATCAATTTTCAAGATTTTCAAGTGTTCATAGATCTGTTTGATTCATATTACATTGAAGCTTTAAATTTTATAATTAGAAATAAAAATAAATTTTCAGGCCGTCAAAAAGATTTTCAGTATCGAAACATCTTTCGACACTATTTTGAAGGTGCGCCTTACTTGGATTCTTTAGGGCCTCGGCCTTGGACTGACCACTGCATGTTTTTGGCTTTTGTACTTACCGATTTTAGTGCTTCCTCAAATTTTACTGCATCAATCCATGGGTGGGCTGCTCACAACCATTGAAATAGGTAAAGACATTCTATCTCTATATCAAATTTTGGGCATTGTCATGCCACCTTTAGACAACCATCTAATAGGCAAAGTCTATCCTTTGCCATTTCTTTTAGAAAGTTCATGTAATAATATTTCGAAAATTCTATTCGTCTCCAGTTTCCATAAATGCTAATAGGTCTGGTTTCTATGAGGTTGCAACCTTAAACAATCCAAATAAGGCGCACCTCCAAATTTTATCATAAAACGTAATTTTGGTGTAAAAATTCTTACTATTATTTCAAAATCTATTTTCATATCTAATTATAAAACTTTAAACTCTAAAGATGGTTAAAATCAAGTAGATCTATAAACATATGAAAATCTTGAAAATAGACTGTCTATATAATGTGTTGCAAGATACACTATTTTTGGAACTCAAAATCTTTTTTCTTTCATATTCATAGATCTCGATGTTGAGATGATCAATTAAAAAGTTTTTAACATTAAAACAACATTCTTACGATAGATTTTTGAAGTGCATATCTAATTCTACATTTTTAAGGTTGCAACCTTATATAAACTTTTTCCTTTCCTGAAATCTTTTAAAAATGGGCCTACATGAAGGTGGCACCCTTAAGCATTTGAAGGAGGTAAAATGGAAAGCTTTAACCTTATGTACTCAAGGGCTCCAACTTATAATTACCCAAAAAAAATAAAATAATCCTGAACTTACATAGCTAAGTGCATGGGCTAAAAAAAAATAGGGGTGGCAACGGGTTGGGTCGGGTTTAGGTTCAGCTCGACCCAAACCCAAAAAAAATGATATGGGACCCAGACCAGACCCGATTTGATTGGAATGAACTCAAAAATTAAAACAACTATATATTTAACTGTATTTAAATATATTTTATATATTGGGATCCAAAAAATATTACCCGACCTAAAATCCAAATAGTGTTTGGCTACAAGATTTTGACCCGAACCCGACAGGTCCAATTTTTGGACCCATACAGTAACCCCGATCAGGTCTACCCCACGGGACGCGGGTTAGGTCCCGGTCCATTGCCACTTCTAAAAATAAATTATACTTTTCGGTTCTATTGCAATACATGACTTTCTTACCCATATATAGATCGGCAAGAGGGGTCAAGAGCAAAGGGGATAAACCAGTAAGTACAGTGCCGGACCTAAAGTCGGGGTCGCCAAAAGATTATGTAGGAGCATATTATGTGTTCACTACCCTGGTAAACCCTGCATAAAGGAGTATTATTATTCCTAATTTTGGGAACTTTCTCAACATAGGGACCAATCCAACCCAAAAAGAAGAAGTTTCGTCCTAAGATTGAATAGAGACCCTCTAATTTTTGGATCGCCCCATCGGGATGTTTAGAAAATCAAAATTTTCCTTCTGTTTTTTCTGCCATTACTTGATTATAAAGTGGATCTAGAAACTCTAAATTGAAATATACTCCAAACTGTGTCCTTTGCAGGAGTACGGTGTGCTCCACTGCATGCTATGTGCATGATCATCAAGAAAATGGAGGAAAGAAAAAAAAATCGGTTAGCCTAACAATCATACAATGGACTGCATGTAATCCACGCAGTGTTCGATTCCTCGAACCGGACCTAGAAACCAGCCAAGCGCCGGGTATGAGTAACTCGGAAACCAGCCGGTTCACCTTGCCTATCCGGGTAGGACCCGGGCAGGCCAAAAAGTCTTAAATAAATAAAAAAAATAAAAAAATTTTAAACAAATATGAAACATATATTTAAAGCATGATTAAATAAAAAACATCCCAATGAAGTTGAAAAGTACTAAAAAACATAGATTTTAAAAAATCGATTTATGCCTGGGGATATTTTAGAAATAATTAAAAAAAAGAAATACGAAAAAGAAATATTCAGTGCCAAAACACATTCCAATCATTTTTAAAATGATAACAAAATATTAAAAAACATATAACAAATAAATCCCTTATTTTTTTGGGATTTTATATATAGTTTTATTTTATTATATTAAAATAACTGGCCGGACCACCTAAATTGACTAAAATTGCCTTGGCTAAAAGCCGGTTCCGGTTTACTTGGCTGATTCGAAGTTGGACCGGCCAATTTGTTGAACACAAAATTCAGGTTCTATAGCAAATGGGAAAGTGGTGGATGAGGGAAAAGGGAAAGAGG